TTCACTTAAAATCGTTTTTATTCTATATTTTAATAGATTACAACTTTTCCAATTACAAAAAAAAATTGTTATAAGGTTAGCATTGACTGGTTTATTTTAATAATAACCAATATTATATTACATAAGTTAGATGTATATATATATATTCCTATGTCCTATATAACTTTTAAGTTATATTACCTATACATATTTTTTATTTTAATTTTTAATTATTTTTTTAGATGAGTCAATTAAATTTGGTAAATTGGTTAGTAAAATAAGAAAGGTTAGTTAGATAGGTAAATTTAGCATTAATTTACAATATTGACACTTCCATTTTTTGGATGATGGTTTACGTGTTATTTCTAAACATTTATAATGATAACAAAGATTTGAAAATCTTCTTTGGTACACATAAGTCATAACTACATAAGTGTTTAACCACCTATGTTTTCTTTACATGTACAGTACTGATATTTATCTTTAGGAATACATTATTCTTCTCTTTCACTCATAATAATATTTTCCAAAGATTGTTCATTGTTGGTTATATATCTTCCTAAAAGTTCTGATAAGATTGCCTCACAAAAAAACCATTTAGCTTTGACCATTATTTCACTGCATATTTCATCATTAACTTGTATGCGTTCAACATAACATTCCTCATAAGGTGACCAAATTACAAAATCACCATACTTTACTCCACATAGCAGCAGTTGGGTTGGTATTTGGTAGTAGTATTCATGATTGATTTGCAATTTTGAATTTTCTATTGTTTAAATACATGAATAGGATCAATTTTTCCATCTTGCGCTATGCTGTGCACTTAATTTCCAAACAACCTATACCGCAACAATCACAATTTACAATTCCATCTGGGCTTGCTCCCATGTATGGAACACTTGAATTAATTACCTGAATTAATTACGGTTGCCCCAGGGGCGAAATAGATTTTCACGGCTAGAACTCAAGTAATATTTTATTGGCAATGTTTTTGTACACTGACCAGGGCCCTCCGGACGATTTGCGGGGCCCGGGGCAGAGTAAATTTGTGGGGCCTAAAATGTCATTATCGTCAGTTGGCAGTTGCATTGATTTAAATATTTAATATTATGAATTATGATATATACCTACCTAGGTATAAGGGGGCTACGCGCAAATATACTCAAAAATATAGTACCTTGTACTTACAATAATATGAATAAGTAAATTAATTAATAACAAAACTCTTAATATATTTATACTTAATATAATAATATTGATAAATTAATAAGTCTATAAATATAGTAGGCACCTAATACAATATGAAAAAAGGTGGACAAGTGGGTACCGCTCTGCTGTACAGTTTGTGTCAAGCATGTCGTTGTAATAGATGTGTTATATTTAAATTACATTGATAAATTATTGTAAACGAAAAAATATTCTGAGCGGAGACATTGTATCAGCCTAGCACACTTGTAAAAATAATCAAATTTAGTTGCTAAAAAAAATTAACAAAGATCGAAAACTTAACTTTCTGGGGAACTTTTTTAGTTTGATAGAATTACAAAAACTTGTTGGAAACCTTCTATTAAAATGTCTTAAATTAGGTATGAAAAAAAAACTTTTATGAATTTTGTCAAAACTGGAACTTTATAAGCATATAACAAATAATTTTAAAAAAATTTAGAAAAATGGAAAAATTTCTCAAGGGTTCAAGCCTATAACTAGTATAGTAATGTAGGTATATCCGTAGGTATAGGTAGTAAAAATTACAGCAATTGAAGATATAAAAATATATAAATAATAATTTTTTTTTCTCATCAACTCATTAAGCTTTTTCATGGTATCTACAAAAGCGGGGCCTGTCCAACTGGTGAAGGCCCGGGGCCCAGGGCGAGGGCCCCGCTCGCCCTGCCCTAGGGACGGCCCTGACACTGACTGTCATTTTATTATAATTTGATGTTACGAGTTTTTTGTGTTCGCTACATACCAGTATAACGTTTTGTATAAAGCTAAGTAAATTATAATTCAAATGTTTGAAGATAATATAATATTTAATCATGTATAAACTATAAATAAAAATTTAAAAAAATGTATTTACATGTTATTGTCATTGATGCATTCATTTCAACCAGATTGTCCTGTGACAAATCTATAAAACAATACAATACCTATGTGTGTGCACACTACAATTATTGTGAATAATTGAATATTTAACTTTGATTTGAATTAAAACTTGACTGTTTGGTTGCCGACTGTCGAATAATACCTAAAATATTTAAATAAAACATTATCATTATAAAATTATTATAGCTCAGAATCTAACATAATTAATAAAAAAGTCGAGCGTGTAACAAGTACGCGGGGATGAAGTGAAACTTCTTTCAGTCATGCAACTGATATGAGGTATTGGAATAAAATAAAAAAAATACACTTTACAATTTTATATTTAATAGAACTGTTTTTTTTATTATTATTTATTTTTAACTAATGATACAAGAACTGATGATAGCTGAAATGAGTTATGTACGTTTTTGATTGTACATTATTAAGATATCGTGCGAAAATAGCATCTATTGTGGTTCCTGACCGCGTTGTTGGAATTTTTGGATCATTATTCATTGATAAATTGAGATGTTCACGAAAAAATTGTGTTAATGGTTCTGATCTATCCGATGCAAAATTAACATTAAAGTCTCCAGTCTCCACTCAGAATCATAGGCAGTTTATTTTCTCCCCTGCCGAGTAATGGTGTACCTTTGGTAGAGTAGGCAATCAACGATCTTTTTAAAAAATAAACTATATCATCTATTTTTTGATTTGGTGAGATATAAACTGCTACAATGATGATGATTGGTTCATTTTGTCTTAAACACTCAGCAACACAAAATGCACCGACTGGAGTAATTTTGGAATTATATAACTTTGATTGCCCTATTGTCATCTCAGTTAATGGAGTGACAATATTAACTATATCGTCGTTATAGGTTAGCTACTCCTCCAGATCTAACATTAGGCCGCTTATAATTAATGATACAATTAAAATTAGGTATTATAGTATTCTCGTTTTCGTGTTGCCAGGTCTCAGAGAAAATTAATATTTTCGAATTTTGCAGAACTGAATCAAGAATGTCTGATGAATGAGCTCGGAGACTTTGACAATTTAAACTGTAAATTGACAATCCCGGTTCATCTTTAATAAAATTGTTTATTTGTCTGTCAATTGAGACTAAAGAGTGAGTGGAAAGTCTTGTAAATTCATCATGTAGGCGCCTCGTGGAATCTGATGTAATATAATACCGATAGGCGATAAAACATACAGAAACAGAATTTATATATAAGTAGTTAATAATATAATAATTATGTAAAATGTAATAGTACTCACACAACGTAGAACGACAAACTGCTGGGAAGAGTTGAAGGCTACTAAAATAAAACAAACCACTGGCAAGGATTGAGAACGTAATATTCTATTGACCAAACTTTAAGTTAAATAAAATGACAATCTTTTTTGTTGTAATAATAATTCACAAATATAATACCGATAACATAGATAACATAGATAATATAGAAACACAGAATTTATATATTATATAAAAAAATCTAATTAATATAATTAGTTGTTATTACATAGGTACTACAAAAATAATTAACTACGTTTCTATGTTACCGGTTAACCGATGCACAGCTGGTCCGTGACGGCGGCTCGTGACGGCCGACCGTGCTCGACCGTTGTTTATTTTTTTTGTACCCTCTGTAAAGAAGTTTCACTTCAATAAATATATATACAACAATTATCACAAAAGTATTTTATTAAAACCAAATATTATTTAAGACTAAAATTAATAATGTATAAAATATAAAAATTGTGTAACAATGTCTTATGAAAAAATACAATGTATAATACTTTAATAGTAAGTTTTTATATTTAAACATTAATGAATTGTTTTGTACAAAAATATAAAAACATGTATTTTTATTTTGTTAATTAATAATTTAAGTAGTTTTTAATACTTACATTTAAAATAAGTTATAAATGAGATTTAATGAAGCAATTCAATTGTAGAGCAGTAAATAATAACTCAATTTAAAATATTATTTATGAGCAAATTATTCATCATTCATCACTATAAAATATACAATATAGTTTAAAATAATACAATACAGATTTCTATACGTCTGAATGACAACTGGGTTAAATTTAATGTATGGAAGAAATAATTAAATGATTTATCAAACTAAAACATTGTGAATGTATTTTTGTATTTTATATTGAAAATTATTAATTTTAGTAAAATGTAAACTAATAACGAATATTAAGTACACATCACTAATGCAATTAGAGATACTTAGTGTATTCAGGATAAAACTTATAAATATTCATAATTTTATCATAAAATATTACAAATAATAGTAAGAGGTAGATTAATATAAATTATAAGAGAGTAAAATATATATTATAATATCATTATAATTATTCAATGTTAAGATAATAAAATGTATTTGTCAGGAAATTGGTTTTGGTAAGCTTCTTAAACAATAGATTAATTCAAAAAAAAAAAAAAAAAAGCATATCACTAGTTCATTATAATTGTTCTATGATAAAATAATCTTATATTTAAAAAAAAAATCAGTACAATCAAAAATAATTTTTGTAATCTATGTTATAAAAAAGTAAATTAGTGTTAGTTTAAATCACAGTATCTTTTACATTATATCTAAGACCGAAGTTTAAATCTTTTAAATTTTGAACACTTTTTATAAATAATACTTAATTGAAAATGGTACTGCCACACAATTATCATAGATTTTGTTATCTAAAACTGTAATTTAAAATTTATATCAGCTATTAGTTAAAACTAATTGAGATTCTAACTACAAAATTGTTCTGAATCAGTATACAATTAAATTCTTATTAAACAAATTAAAATGTGTACCTTAGTCTAATGCTTTAATTAATGTTATACCCATGTATAACAAACAAATTTATGCTTTTAAGCAGGAATGTTATTAATGAATGTTTGTAATGAATGACATTTTTAATTCTTCTTTTCAAATTTTACTAATCTTGTTAGCATCGATGTAATGCATGGAATTTGTTTCTGCTGATGCATTTGAACAGCACCAGGAACATTAGATTCATAGTCAATGGCCACTTGACGATTCACAAATGTCAGTATAGTTAAAAGGTCTAGTTGATAACCATATTTATTGAAGGCATCACAAAGAGCTTGCATAAACCAAGAACCTTTTTGAGTATTGCGCCATGAATAGAAACCTGAAAAAGATACAATTAATGAAATGTGAAAAAAAATACATTACAATAAATACAGTTTATCATAAAATAAAAAACAACTTTATTAATATTAATATTTTTATTTTTCGTATAATGTATAATGTATATTAAAATTAAAAGAAGCACACAACACAAAAAAACGGTTGTCTTCAAATTATTATAAAATATTAAATTATTGTAATCAGAACTATTAAAAAAAGTGTGGGTCTCGGAGCAGCTTTACTAAGCGAAGCTTTTTACGATGACTTATTTAAATTTCCTATAAGAGATGGCTCTCTCTCATGCCGTCGATTGCTTAATAACAAAATGGTGGTTAGTCGAGTTGGGTTAGCATACAACAGTGTATTTTAACTAAATAAAAAATATATTTTAAAAGTTATCATAAATTTAATTTATTTAATAAGCAATTTATTAATTACAGAGTATAGCCTTAACAAAGTTTATAAGTTATTTATTATTTACAGAGTATAACCATAGAGACAGTGTATGTATATGAGTAAATGACCATGTATGGAAAATATTAATACAAATATTTTATGAAAATTTCAAGTTTCTACAGTTATTCGTTTTTGAATTAATACAAAATATCAAAAATCAAGTAATTGGAGTTTGTTTCTTTACCGCTAAATATAAAATATTGTAAACATTTTAAATTTAAACGCTTATAAAAATGTTATGTTACGTTCAAAAATCTTTTTTTTTTGTTACAAGTAGAAAAGTTTTTGGGGAAACTTCTATACTTCTATTAAAAATGTTAATGTTATGTATGAAAAATAAACTTATGATTGAGCCTATACTCTATTCAAAATAAGACCGTGCCCAGCGACCGAATTGTGCGCATGGATGTGGCAGCGCCCGACGTGTCACCATAGTGGGCACGGTATCTGGCCATATGTCTGACCGCAGCCCGACAAAAACTGGTCGCCGCCTGGTCACGGTCTTATTTTGAACAGAGTATATGTATCTTTAATATTTTTGAACTCCTATTAAAGTATCTTATGAGGACCTTGTATTGAATTTTCAATCTTTTTTATTAAGTGAAATAGTTTTTATCTACAATAATTTAAAAAAAAAATTCTCAAGGTTATACAAACTTTTGAAAGTTCTAAGTGTCTACAGTTATTATTTTTGAATAACACCAAAAAAGTGTTTAAAAACTACTAGGAATTTTCAATTTTGACCTTTCAAAAGTACCAACGAGATATTTTTTGTGTTTTGTTATAACCAGGGCTCGTAACTTCATGCACTAAAAAATCCATAAATAAGCATGCATTCGTGCACTAAAAATTGTCAAAATATGCATTAAAATATGCACTTAAAAGTTCAAAAATGTGCATTTATATGCATTAACATTTTTAAATTATGCACTCAAAAGTTCAAAAATATGCATTTATATGTATTAACATTTTTAAATTATGCACTCAAAACATGCATTATGTAAAAAAAACATTACCAAATTTTAAAATAATAAGAATAAATCCATACATTTTAAAAGTATTTTATTCCTCCTAATTTTTATATTTTTAACATTCAAAATTAATAAAATAAAAAATAAAATTAATACTTGTGAAGTTCAAATAGCTTTGTCATCTTTATAAATTTTAATTAGGTAGTCAATTTTGTCTAATTTGTGTACACCCTTATTCAGCACCAGCAATGAAAACATTTGGAATGAAATATTAGGTTTTTCATTTTGAGATAATTTAGTAATATATATTTTATAAGTGTTTTTTTTATGTTTTCCAACAAGAGGGCGCATAAGTAGACAAAATATGGCATAAAACCATGGTTTCGTAATTCAAGTAATACGGCTTATTGAAGTGGTTTACAGTAAAAATACCTATTATAAAAATTGTAAAGTAGAACTTTTTTTACAATGGTAAGAAGCCTGATTTTCGATATTTTTATTAATTAGCTAAATAATTATTCAATAAAAAATTTAAAAAACCGTTATAATTTACCATGCGATATTGGACGATTGGAACAAGATATCAAAAACCGGAAGAAACTTTTCAAATATTTGTCTAAAAAATATTTTTATGAAATAATATGCACTAACGACTGTAAAAAATCAACTATATGCCAAATATGACTTTATACCCAAAACATGCAAAAACATGCACTATCAAACTTCATATTATTATTACTATTGTTATGAAACGGATTTGTATCTCAGTTAGCATGTTTTCCTGTGTGGCAAAAAAAACATGCAGATGCATGAACTTACGAGCCCTGGTTATAACATATTATTTTGATGGTTATTTATTATTTTTGCACAAAAATAATTTGTTTGCATATTTTTTCATTCTTAAGAAAATAGAAGGAGAATATTTGTATATTTTTTCATAGCATATATATATAGAGCATTATATTTCAACTTTTTAACTTTAATATTTAGCTAAAAAGATCGGACCTTAGCCATAACCTAGGTACCTATAATACCTACTTACCGGGAATTGTAGAGTATGCTATAAGAAAATCGGCATAAACGGGTATTTTGAATGAAGAAGATCCATCGACTTGTGTTCTTAACTGAACTCCACCGTCCAATCGGTCTCCTTGACAAGCTTGAATAAAGAATAGCTTTGGTTTTCCAGCTAATGTGACACATTTGTCACCAGTAAATCGTCCCCAAAGATTATCTTCTGGTTTATAAGCTCCATCTTTAGCATAAATAATACCTTGTTCACCATGAGATAATATTGCCATTAATAAACAATCATAATTTGTATAGTCTTCTTTAGCCCCTGTTTAAAAAAATTAACTTAAGAAACATAATATACAAATACAGTTTTTTAGTAAAGAAAATATTATGGGATAGCATAGATTAAATAACACTATAAATAGGCAACGAAAAAACCAATCATTTGTTGCCCATTATTTTAATTTGGATTTGACTTTATTGTGGCACATGATGGTAGTAGATGAATAAATAATTATTTGATTAATTTCTAACTTTAATGACTGCAATGTGCCATTAATTAGCCAAATGCATATCAAAATAATGAGCGATAAAGGATAGCATTGTCGTTGCCTATCTATATTGTTATCAATGGCTATAAAAATAAATATGGAAGGCAATTAAAATATTTCAAAAAAATAATAAATGTACATAGAATAATATCAAAAAGGTTGAATAAACATGTATACATACAATAGTCAAGTTTTCTATCCAGTTCAGCTAATGTCAAATCAACATATGGTGTAACATCGAATCCAAGGTTTTTTAAGGATACCTCTAAATTAATACAATCTAATCCAGTTCCAGCTCTAGATTTAAGATCTCTAACTTGAAAGTTTTCATGATTGAAGATTATGGCCTTTCCACGATACTTATGATGCATATTGTAATACCATGCATCCTTATCTGTTGAACTAATGCCGTAACCTGGACGAGGTGCACTTTTAAATCTATAATTATAAAACAATTGTAAATTAATACCTATATGTTTACACAGAGAGAATGTTTAATTTTAAGAGGGACCGCTATTACCTATTAAAAAAAAAAAAAAGTACTGAAGTACCTATTTAATTAATGATTATTAGTACTTAATACTTATATTTAACACCATTGAGTATATATTGATTAATACGATATATACAATATATACTCAATGATAACACCTAGCCTATATACAAATGAAAACATAATAAATTGTTTATTAACTATTTTCTGATTATAATTAACTGAAGATGCTTTTGGATTCAAAAAATTGATTTACTATATTGTTTATCGAAATCAAACATTTCAACAATTTGATGTTTAATACAGTTAATTAATCAATCAATTTTAACTAGGTATAGAAAACTAAAATTACCTTACTAATTTCCAGATATAATAATAATAAAATACTAATTTTGATGGTATGCCAATCAATACGGTGGCTTACCTAAAACAGTTGCCTACCAAATGTTTGATAAACTTCCCGCTCCTGAATTTTAAACACGAAAATAACAAAATATAATACAATTTATAGACAATTAATTTATATTAATCAATCAGCAATGAATAAGATGTAAAAATAAGTAAGTAAATATTAATTGTATGTCCAGTTAAGTAAATACAGCATATTAGGTAAGTCTACTGTCATGTCAAGTATGACATTCATGTTTATGGAAAAGTACTTCCTTGTTTAAAATATTTTGTTTTTACCTACAAACAAAGGATTCCAAATTTGGTATGACAAAAATGGTGAGAATTGCGTAAGACCTAACAATGTCTTCACCATTTGTGTCACAATGCTCTGTGCAGTGTGTATACATATATTTATGATGTAATTTTATACCCAAAGATTAGTTGTGAAAAATTGACTTGAATTATATTCTAAATCAAATAAATTATTTTCAACAAATCAAAGTGTGTATTAATGGAGACATTTCTATTTAACTTGAAATATTATAAAATTAAAATCAGATATGCATCAATATCAGAGAATCCAAACCATATACATTTTGGTAAATCACCTCGAAATGTTTTATTCGATCCCTAGTTTAACTACAGCTGTCCTATAGTAGATATAAAGTTGAACACAAACATTATAATAATTTCCTGTCAAGTTAATGAAAAATACCTAGTGTATTGAACAAAGAAAAAAAGAATTGATTAAATTATTATCAGAAATATCGACCACTCACAATGAACCAAAAGCGTCGGCAGTGTCATGACTAGGCTGTTGCGACCCGGTCAACCCATCAAATTGTGTTGTTTGTGTGCTGCAGTTTGAAGTGAAAGAGTTGCCATTTTCGTATCTGAAACAATGGAAAGGTTGATATGCGGCAGAGAAAATTAAAAACAAGTATCAAACATAAAAACCGTCGACTCACTGCAAATTTTCGGTATTTCCGTTTTTCTCCATAGCGATATCAAAATCTAATAAGTAGATGGTACACAATATTGTAGGCAGGATTCTAAGTATGTATATTGTATTATTGTATTGATTGATCGAACCGATAAAAAGAGATTCGTATTTTGTCAATAATTAATTCGCTGAGGCAGTGATTTGGTAAATTACGTCAAAATTCGATGCGAAAAAAGAGAACGGTCGATGTTAAATATTGTAGTGTAATCGCTGGTTTCGTAAACGCTGCAGAACAACGACTGAGAGTAACCAGTAACCAGTGAGTAATGATTTTATTACTTTAATTTCTCAGTGATCGAGTTGTACTCAAGTAATGACTTCGTGCCAGTACTACTGTTGTTGTTGTTGTTTTGGTGAATCATCGGTGATAGAGGCATCGGTTCACAGACCTCCATTGTTATCGCAGTCCAGTGATGTTAGATGTCAATTACCAATATTCCCTTGCATTAAATCAAAATTCCCCGTTTTTGATAAACATTTCACAGCTCCAAAAACTAGTTCTTAGATTATCTATCGTATATGGAAAATTGTTCTAACGTTACTTACGTGCTAAAAACTACCTGAATTTTTTTTCTCTGCATGCCATTAAATTATGAAAAATATTACACACGTATATAAGAAATTAGAAAAACATTTTAATTTAAATGTATATTTATTGAGAGATTTAATAATAAAAATAATATTACTAATTATTATTGAAGCGGTGGCTTACACTGAATGTCTGAATATTAATAGTAAAAAGCTATTAAAATATCTATTATTTGTATTTATTTGTTATAAATAATTAAGACTTAAATTTTAGCTGTAATCTCGTTCTTTTCACAAAATGTTTTTTAATTATTCTTAATTTAATTTACATTTACAATAAATACAGTAATGCAACCTAGCAAGTGTTCTTATCACTAGCCACCCGAAAAAAAAAAGGCACCTAGCTTTGGTAACCAACTTTACACACATGTCTAAATATGCTGCGACGTGAGATTTTCGCCCATAATAAAGTCAGCTGTTTATTGTGGTAATAAATATACAAAGCCTTTATAAAAATGACATAGGCTGAAGTTAATCTCCAAGAGTTCATTATGGCCAAGGATGATCTTTCCAGTGCTGATATCAAAGTAAACACAGTTATTTTTAATTTATAAATTTCATTATTGATGTAAGTACAATTAAACAATATTTGAAACAATATGCAAGTCAGTGTTATTCAAACACAATATTGTATGTATTATTGGGCATTAGAAACAACATATCTTTGTTTCATTTAGTTTAATTGTTACTGATAGGTGTGTGCTTTGCAGAGTGCAGACTGATTATTGACTAAAAAATATGGATCTTGGTGGGGAAAAATGTTTGCCCAAATCTAGATTATTATAACATAAAAAAAAGTTATAATATTATATTATAACAAAATATAATATAAATACATATATATCTGTTGGATAATAGTATTTGATATATTGTCCCAGTAATATATAATTATTTCAGATTTTAAGAGGATGTTGTACCCACATAATATTATGTTGTCTCTGCCTTACTAACACATAATATACCAAAATGTACGTCCAGCAGTTTAAATTTTGTATTGTTAGCTTATTAGAGTTACCTAATTGACCTATTATCAAGCTTAAATGAAATAACATTATCTGTGTTCTCTAGTTGGTTTTTATGATATTTTAAATTTTAAGTGAATTATGAGTATTTCCAAATATTTTACATATTGATAACTCACTTAAAAACTAAATATCATATAAAACCAATGATAGCACATAAACAATGCTCTTATATTTAAGTTTGATAATGGGTCGTCAATTCACTCTAATATTTAAACTAAGAACACAAAATTGGAATTGATGGACGTACTTTTGAAATATTATGCATTAGCAAGATGAAGGAAACACATGTTATCTTCCTATCTAGTACATTTTCATATATAAATTATAAACAAAACAATTTTAATAATCATTCATTCATGTTTTTAATTTGAATGAAAAACAATAAAAAAGTTATTGGTTTTACTAGTAATTTTATTAATTATTATTATTAGCACTGTAAAATGAATAAATTAATCTTAAGAGAAAGCATTTTAATTATATTTTATTGAGTGATAACTGATAACTATAGAAATAACATTTTTAGAATTGTAGTTTTAATATATTATTTATAAGATGATTTAAACTAATAAATTGAATTCATTTTAGGCTATTTGTACTGAAGCTGATTTGATGGCTCTCAGTGAACGAAAGTAATTAATGAAGATTTCAAGAAGTCCAAAGAGAGTGTCTTATACCGGAAGAAAGAAGGCACACCTGAAGGATTATATTTGTAATACTAATAATATTGAAGGATTATATTTGTTTAACTGAAAGTATTTTGTATTTTAACCCTATGAAACACCTTAAATCATACATAACTTGTTTACCTATAACTATATTTTTACATTTTTCAATGTTTTAAACATTTTTTCAAATTAATAAATGCCAAATTATAACCATATATTCATTTTTCTACTATAATACCATAATAGATTGACATTCCAAGGTAACATTTCATCATCCAGGCTAGGAGTTGATTACAGTCTATTTTCATAGTTATATGTCTACTAATATTAGATGTGTATTAGATCACATTGTAATTGTGTTGTTTTAGAAGTCACTTTTCACTTTCACTTCTTGTAAACCTAATACAGATTATGTAATACTGTAATGTAATAAAAAAAGTTTGAAAAATATTCTTTTATAATATATGTTACTATTCAACACTTGTAAAAAAAGTATTTGTATACAATAATTATGATTTATGCACCTTAGATTATAATGTAAAAACGATTGCCCGGTTATATTTTTTTTGGTACATAATATGTAATTATTACGTTTTACTATCAAATCAAAATGGATTATTCATATTTTATGGTTTTACTTTCGAATTCATTGTTTCATATGTATGAATTAATTGTCTTGTTTAAATATCAGTTAATACTTCACTGTTATTCGGGATCATGAACTAAGAGTAACTACTAGTAGCTATAATAGTTTTAGTTCATGTTCGGGATATAGAAAAATTGATTTAAGGCTCCACTAGAAAAATTTAAATTGATAAACATTTTCAAATAATATTAATAATCAAATAAGATGGTTGATAACTGATAAGTAATAACCAGAATCAGCAAATGGGCTCAATTAATATTTAGTATTGAATTAAAAAAAAGTTATAAACGTGTGGATTTATTCAAGTTAAAAATGTAATGGTCAAATAATTTGAAACAGTAAAATATATTTTATATAAATTTGTAATCAATGAAATTTGTATTTTTTGAAGTCTTGCTTATTTTATTTTTTTATCTATTTATTTTAACATGATAACATTTAACAGCTATGGTGTTACACATAAAATTAACATACAATTTACACCAAGCTAATATTTCTGTATTGAAATTAACATTTTTAGGATCAAACAATATGGCAATACTGATCGAAACTTTAATTTATTCATTATAGATCATCATTATAGACGATGGTCTGTCACTTAATGTACCAACGCAGTTAATTTTTATAAAATTATAACCAATGAGTATTGTCAATCACACAATACGTTTTGTAATATTATGTGTAAATTAAATCGATAAGTGTCTAGAGTTTCTAGAATACAACCCGCAGATGCCAGATATTGCAAAAACCTATGGTGGGCCTTTCTTATTTATAACAAACCTTTAAAAACAGTCCACAAAAATTCAAAATTCCAATTTATATTTCCTGAGTATATAGACATATAATAATAGATAATCTATTGTAAATTTAAAACATGCAGCATACTTATAATAATAAACTGTCTTAGTTATCATAGTTAATAGAGTAGTATTCTTAAATACTTAATGGAATCCTGAATGTATATTCAAAGTTTATTTTAAAATATTTGAAGAATAACTAATAAAATGTTAATTTGTGGACATAGTATTTAATGATTACACAATTTTGCTTGGATCTAAAAAAAAATCCGAAATATCTCCATTGTGAGTACGACGAGTTGTTGCAATTCACCCTAAATGAGTAAGTTTTTCTCTTAAGTTTTAATATTTTTCTGTGGAGGTAGAAATAATCTGATCATGATGTTTTTTTTTTTCAAAAAATAACATTTATCACTAAGAATTTATTTTAATTCTCTTAAAACGATACTAAAAATGCATTGATAAATTATTGCTAAAACACATTGCATAAAATTAAAAATATCAATAAAACATAATAATATTTTTAAATTGTTTGCTCAAATCTATTATGTTAAATCGCCTGAACGCCAACGGTTTCTATAATAATACACATACCTATTATAGTTAATGGGTGTTTTGTATTTTAAAATATTTATTTCTAAAGTATCCCCAGTGAACACTCATTATTTCAAAAAGCATAATTCATCAGATGTCAATAGATCTTTTAGTAATTATTGACACATAAATGTAAATGCCCAATCAAAATTCATTGATAATTAAACTATACATGAAACTTATTTCAAAAATGTAGACTCCCATTTGAAATCCCAATGTTGCCCATCAAATCTCCCTTTTAATTAATAAAATATAGTTTTTACATAGGACTGATTTTCCTAATTTACATATTTCATAGTGAAATATATTAGGTATTACATAACATTTTAAAGACCCTGTACTTATATCTTTCAAATCCTTTATTTGGGTATAACCTTAAACGATCAATATTCGACATTTAGTAGGATAATCTTAGATAATATACTATTATTATACTTGTATATGATCTAAGATGATAAAAATTGCAAATCCGCCTAATCAGATATCACTGTTTTGTTCTATGTTTGTAGGTATGTATTAGGGATATGGGGATTACACTTGAATATGCGATATGTGACAGTAATGTCCAATAACTTATAATAATATATTATGACAATAAGTTATTGTAGCGAGATAGGTACAAAGATTATCACTATTATACCTTTTGTTCGAACAAATCTAGTTTATTACTTTTAACTTCTGG